GCAGTGCTTCCCCTCTCTCGTGTACGCGCTAGCTGCCAGAGCATGAGAGAAAACGAGAAGCATGGCTGCAACTGGAGTGCAACTGCCGCTGCGCCTCGGCTTGTTGACAAAAAAGACGCCAGAAGCGAAATTTGGAAGTATTTGAGCTATATCTCTGACAGTGAGGGCAAGCCTACGGACACCACGAGGCCTGTCTGTGAGAAATGTTTTAGATCCCTGCAAACCAAGGGAGCCAACACATCAAACTTGGCTAAGCACCCGCCGACCGGCATCCAGAGCTGTTTAAAGAATTTAAAGACAGACAGGTTAGCGAATGTGATAGTATAAAATAATTACATCATGCTCAAGCCCATGCCCTCAAATCTAAGTCAAACAAGTGTAATTTATTTTGTGACGAACGAACGTTTTCGTAGTTTGACGAGGCAATTAATGGCTATCTTTTTAGCAAATTTACCAATGTGGCTAACATCTGCAATATACATTTAGTCAATAATTATTTATATTACTGTTACATGACATGTACATGTTAATAAAATATAAAAAAGATTATATTTTATAAAACAAAAAAGTTGTTTGAGATGATGCTTAATTGTATTTAATACGAATTCTTGTCATTTATTTTGTTTATTGTTCTCATTGTTTAAAAGTTTGTGTTATGGTTATGGTTCTGGTGTTAAATAAAGCACAATAATTACATTTAAGACTGTTTCCCTTTTTTTAAGAAAAGTATCGAAAAAGAATCGGAATCGCAATTCTTGACTTGGTATTGGTATCGAAACCAAAATGTTGGTATCGTGACAACACTAGTCTATAGACAAGTAATTGGAATATTGATATATGTAAGTTACAACCAGATGAATGTTATGGATGTTCTTTAAAAAGTTCAGTTCTTATTTTGCTTCTTCTTTAAATGCAGAACAAATCAAATAATATAACCTCATTGACCCAAGTAGAGATTTTATTTTGTGCTGACACATTGTCTGTTTCAAAGTTGGAAAGGCAAACACATCCGACAAAAAAAATCAATCATCAAAGTCCAAAAAGCAACAGGTTCATGAAGAACCCACTTAAATGACCTCCACTGAACAAATGATAGGTTACGTAACCACACCAAGATAAATCAGTAGCTACTGTATGTTCATACTCACATGGGTTCACCGCTATTGATGTACTCCCACAGCATATTTTCCGAAAGATCAGCAAACTTCACTTTTGTTTCTTCGTAGAAGTCAATCAACTGGTAGTCCACTTCTTCGTCTGGGGAGCAGGGAGGTTTTGAAATGATATGTGTCAAACACTGGAATCATTTGACCAGTAGGGCCCCCCCATATATATAATATCCTAGTATTAAATCCTACATTAGAATTACTGTACTTTTATTCTCAAAAGACAAAGACACTAAAAATAGAAAATCAAAAAACTACCTGAAATGACTTAACTGTTTTAACCTTTTTGCGTCATCAAATTTCTACAGAAAACAAACTGAAAATAACCTTCAGTTGTCAGGGCTCGACATTAAGGACTGCCCGATGGCCCGGGGCCATCTAGTATTTAGCTCGGGCAATGAAGCCTCACCTGCTGGTTGCCCAATCGGGCAATCTATTATGCCAGTATCATGCAGCTCGCGGATCCAGTAATGAGTGACCCGACAGTAAAACTAAACATATCTATAACTAGTTTAGGTAGTTTGAGAGGTAATTAAAATAGCTACGAGTGATATTCTAACCTGAAGTGTGAGTTTTGTCCGTTCACCGCTGCATGTGATCATGCAGAGCTGCGTGTCGACTCGTCAGCAGCAGCGGATCTCTCTCTCCCGTCAGATTAGACTTCACTCGCGTTTATGTCCATATCGATCAGATCCAGCTAGTTCTAGCTAATGATATGACTACCTGCTTATTAAAAGACACCTAAACAATAAGTGTCGCTATGCAACCGGGTGAGGCCACAAAGTATAGCGCAGCATTATGCATTTGTTTAGCGACACTTATTGTTTAGGTGTCTTTTAATAAGCAGGTAGTCATATCATNGTGTGTGTGTGTGTGTGTGTGTGTGTGTGTGTGTGTGTGTGTGTGTGTGTGTGTGTGTGTGTGTGTGTGTGTAATGCCCCCTCTGAACACTAGAGGTCAACCTGAGAGCGACAAGGAGCAGAGAGAGCAGCACGGCCGCAGGCAGAGAGAAAAGGACCATCGGGGGAAAGATGAAGAGAGGAAACGACAGAGGCACCACTATGAATTTGACAAGTTTATGCGCCGCAAAGATGAGACAAAATGGGGGAAGGGCTACTGCCAAGACAGAGCCAAGAAAGAGGGGCACCATCATGGCTATTCTTACTGTCCTGATGGTGGAGACAAACTGGGGAAGGAGGACAGGGAGGATGTGGGTAACAGGAAGGAACGCCTCCGAAACAAGGTGAGCGAGAAGGTGAGCATGAGAATGGGGGGATGGTTACAACTACTTTTCTTTTGTTTCATGATGCTAACATTCAACTGTGTTTCAGATGTTTGTTGAAATGTGTATTTTGTTTACTTACAGATAATAATCGTCAGCTCAGAAAAATCATGTTTCAATACTTTCAGTGCATTTGTGTCATATAAAGATGTTGTTCAGGCCTGACAGATGGATGACCTAGATACAGCACTATATATATATATAACCAAACCACATTACAAACAGCTTTCTAGTAACCGTATGTCTTAAATGTCATGTGAACCGGAAAGGGTTTTCCAGTTACGATGACATTAGGTTTGAAAGCCGTGAGATGCAGGGTCTGATTCGTGCCTTCAGTGTTTCTGTGTGGAGTTCTTCCTGTGTTTATAACATTTTCCTCCAGGTGCTGCAGACTCCCACCGCAGAACAAAAACATGCAAATAAGGTGAATGTGAAACACAAAATTGCTAGTAAGGATAATGGCATGTTTGTGTGTGTATCTTTGTTTTGGCTGTATTAGATGTAGTCTATTAGTGTTGATCGTTCAGTGTGGCGTGACTGATATACATGAACAATAAATCATCCAGATCAGACCATTATAATTAAACAAAGGCTTAGTTAAGAAGGTATTAATCAGTTCATCATTATTCTACCTCTTTGTTCACTGACTGATATACATACAGAAGTGCATTTGAACCGTCAAAAAGGGTGTTGTCTGTCCCTGCTGCTAGCCCAGTGCATGCTGGGATATTACGCAGAGTGGAGTAGGTGGAACATAATGCAGGAGACTTCAGGCCAAAGGAAATTTATCTGAAACAACTTAATATCCAGAATTGGCTAGGCAAAAAAGAACCTTTTGATACGACACACACACACACGCACATGTATACACACACACACACACACACACACACACACACACACACACACACACACACACAAACACAGGTACAAATATAATCCTACATTAAAAGGTGGGAATCATTTCTAAATAAAACCAGAAACAGATAAGTCTAAAACTAGGATTGTGACAGATTGTGATACTCGTTAAAAGAATAAGCAGGGAGACAAGAGAGATACATTATTAAATACATATATACATGTTGATTTATATATTCCAAATGTGTGCTGCTAGTCTCTCCCATGTCTCTGCTCTCTTGTCTCCCTGCAGGACCGTCCCGCCATGCAGCTCTATCAGCCGGGCGCACGCAACAGGAAGCGCATGAGCTCGGCTGGAAAAGGCTACGACTGCATCGCCGTGGGACACTCACCGGAGCCCGGGACGGAGCACTGCTACGAGGCTGTCCCCATGGCAACAGGGCCGGAGAAGGGGTACGAGAAAAGCAAAGAGGAACAGTGAGCAGGATGGATGTTTCAAAAAGAACAATTATTCAGCCTAAGTTGATGGGGATAAGTTTGACAGGTCATCAATGAGCTTTTAAATGACATGAACTGCATTGAGGGAGAAAGGCACTTCAAAAGCCTTTTTATTTGAGTAAGATGTAACAGAGTTCAGAGCTTTTAATGTTGGTTAATTAAGGTTTCTGTTTTGCTGTTTAGCATGAACATTGTTAATACACAATACATATTTTATCTCAGTGTTTAGTCTGTCTAAGAATCCTTGGAATAAAGCATGTCAACAATACAACAACGAACACATAATAACAGTTACCTTTATGATAGCACAACAGCCATTGTCATACAGTAATACCACTATGTTGAAATGTTGTGATAAGAGGCAGCTCACCTGTGATATCCATCAACAATTTTCCCGCCGAAAACATTACCTCATCCTCTGCAACTGATCGTGTTGCTGCGCCTTTGTAGACTTCTCCGAACCTGGATGTTTTTAATACATTTTATCAAAATTAAATATAACGTAAGTAAATCTTACAAATAATGGATGTAGAAAATTCAACAGATGAAATCCTGTTTTTATTTTTTTTTGTGTAAAGTTGAGCAAATGAGAGGGAATAAGAGTTGTTGTTGATAAGAAAAGGAAACTGTTTTTCCGCCTTTTCCTAGTTTTTATGTCTTAATACATTTGGGCAATCATATATTGTGACGGTGTTATCCAACAGAGACAGAATTGTTTTGTGAGCTCTAAGCTTTGTACATGATCATCAATGAGCCAAGAAGAACACAATCTCAAAATTGAGATGAAGCGTTTAGAGAATTAATTATGAGCAATTATGACACAGATAAATAAAAAAATACATTTTCTATGCTGTGTGCATGGTTTTCTATTCACTCTGTCAAGTAAAGGTGCATTGAAAAGCCACAAATATTGATAAAGTAATGTGTCTAATATCATTTTTGCATATGACCTAACAGCTGTCTATCTATTTCCTTTTTCTTGAAGTTAATACAAATAAAGCTCTTGTTCCGTTATAAGACATTTTATCAGTGTTTCTGTTTTTATGTACGCTCTCTGACAGTTTGGGTGAGGCAGCATTTTCTTCAGCAATGTCCTTATTATGAATAAAGAAATGATAGATATGAGTCACTTGTACTTGACATGACTACACAGCAGTATCTCAGCTTTAGGGTGCGTACTTTAAATGTTCATACTGAAACAAAAATGATCTGAGACGAAACAAATCTCCACCTTTTTTCCTCTGCACTCTGTTGAGAAACAGTGAAACTGGAAGGCAGGTGTACGATTCACAAGAATCCGTGGGCTGATGTTTACTACTTGTTGCGAGACAATGATTATGTATTGCATATATCTCTAACAGCATGTGTGGCACTGTTACCCACATAAAGCAGAACTATCGTAATCAACAGGAAGCCACTAACATAACAGCTAAACTCGTGAAACGTGTCAACACCGGCTTGTACTGTAATATTGTACTATGTGTGACTTTGAGTATGAAGTGTACATATATAAACGCCTTTATTCTTGGTTATACAATTAAATCTTAATCCACGTATAGGGATTTTTTTCTTCAGCATTCAAAGACATGTTACAGGTGTTATGCACACAGCAGTGATTTTAACTGACAATGACTCAAACTGAAAGTGGGTGTAACTTTTTTTTTTGCTTTCACACTTCAGCAAAACTCAAGAATGTTTTTTTTCTTTCAAATAGGCTCTTTTTACTGTTCAGTCATCGCACGTGTATAGATATAGTTTTAGGGATTGTAGAGTCAATTCGTGACTCACATTGTAAGGGACACCTGATGTGTGTGTTCTCCATGCTGTGGGGAGTTTTAGACCTGTCATTTTCAAGACTGAATCTAATGTGTGGCTGTTGCAACCGTTGGTGGGATGAAAAGATTGTCACATGATCCATTTCCTGTCTTTGACTCTGTAAAACGACAAATCTCGTTTCGTCAGGAGGCATAATATCTGTACCTCCATCTACAACCGACACCGATTATCTGCCCTTGAGTTCATAGGTGAGTGTTTAACCGTCTATCTTTTAGACTAATAAGGACTATAAGGATTTATAAGAAGAACTTTATATTTATGTTTGTACACTTGAAATGTTGACTTGAAATGGTCCTAAACTGCTCCATGTGTGAGTTTGTTATCATGTTCTACTTTACATTTGCCCAGCTAAATGTGCTCAGTTACTTAATATCCTTAGTCAGAAGAGAAGATTATCACAATATGTTTTATTCAGTTTTTTAACACAAAAACTAAAAACACACAAAAAGAAAACAATAGGTGAAAGAAGCAGCATTAGTCAATTATACATACAGAAGCAAATGAAACCCAGAAAGATAATCACTTTCAGCATGTTATGAATAAGTGAAGTATATATGTAAATACATCATGGCATGAAGGTTAAATAAATACTTAGTCTCATTACAGAGATACGATAAAACTATCCAGGCAGAGAAATGGACAATAAGTCAAATCAGCAAACTTTAAAAAAGAAAAAAAATTGAGAGAAAAAAACACAAATATTTGTTTTTTATTATTGTTGCAATACGATGGGGTTTTTTTCTGACGTGATTCCAAAAAGTGTAACTATTATCATAATTGAAAAATGTTCTTTGTTGTAGTATTAGGTACTTTCCATCAAAAATGTGTATTGAAACCACCAGCACTATGTGCACCACGTGGGAAAGAAAAGTGTTTTTTGTTCCTTAAAATGATACTGGGTAACTATCGCAAAGCAAAAAGATAAAATACACTTTGTCTCACCTACTATTTCCAGGCTTTTATAATGTTATCACTTAGAGTTCTCGCCTGTCTCTCCAAACATTTTGTCACAACCACACGACGGTTGGTGGTGTTCACAACAATTCTAGGAGGTCGGTTGGCGGTGTTCACAACAATTCTAGGAGGTCCTTTCCTGTGTGAAAACTCAATCCACACTTGCACTATTTAAATGCGAAAAAAAACCCACAGAGCTTCTAAAGAATGAGAAAAGAATGCTCTGTGTTTCTTTCACACCTATGATCAATCACGTTTGCACTCGCAAAAAGAAGAACGACTGCATTCAGTGGTCCCTCAATAAAGGTTTAGTCTACAGGCATTTGTGTTTGTTTGTGCATTCAATTATTACAAAACAATAACATGACGATGTATTTGAAACTGCTTTATTTCCATCAGCTCCACGAGTTCGTTAAAGGTGGACTCAGGTGATGAGAAGCCATTCCCTTCCACTCATGATGGGCAATCACAGCGAATTAAAGCTAGACAACGCCACTCTGGCCCTGTTGAACAGTGTGAACACCAGGATTACCATCTCTGTCATCTATATGATCGTCACTGTCATCAACCTGGTAGGAAATGGCCTTTCCATGTGGCTCCTCATCTTCCATACCTCCCCAAAGACCCCGTCCATCATCTTCATGATCAATCTCACCCTCACCGACATGGCTGTTGGCGTTGCGCTGCCCTTTCAGATCGCCTACCAGCTCCAAGGATACCACTGGACTCTGGGACCCACGATGTGCAGGTATTCTTCAGAATTTGGAGGGCAATGTAAAAGTGTTGATATTGGATGTCTTTAACTTGCACTGAAACTTCAGTTTTCAATGTTGTCTTTTTCCGGCTAAAGATTACCTTTACAACTACTCAGTGTTAATCCACAGTCCTCCAGTTGGAATAGGTTTTGGGAAATACACTTGATTGCTATCTTGCCCACAGTCGGATGAGAAGTTCAATACCACTCATGTTTGTTCAAAATGAAACTATGACCGATAGCTAATTAGCTTAGCATAACAAAATGGCACTGTACAGAAGTAGCCAAAACTGCAGGCAAGAAGCTCTAAAGCTCACTAACACAATGTATATTTTTCTTGATAATCCGTACAGAAACGGAAAGCTAAAAGTTATGTTAATTATTTTTAGGTTACCAAAGGTTAAGGGCCAGACTATTTTTTTAGCCCCTGGCCAATAAATAAGCTACACCTACACTTAACCCCCCCCCCCCCCCCCCCAAAAAAAACCACAACTGGTCTTTTTCACATTTCTTGTCAGGATTAATCAAAGAGATATCCCATTTTGGTTTTCTTGCATATGGTTTTTGTTGTCTTAGAACCAGACTAGCTTTTCCTGCCTGTTTCCAGTTTTTACGCTAAGCTACATTTTCCAGCTGATAGCTAAGGTTTCATAGTCCATATAAAGAAAAACTATCTTTTCATCTTTTATTTTGCTTGATGTAGGGATTAACTAAAACATTTTTCTTCTATGTATCCTACAGTGTCCTGACCCTTGTCTTCTACACCAACATGTACTGTTCCATCCTGACCATGATGGCCATTGGGATTGTACGATACCTGGGCATCATCCTACCCATGCGTTATAGAGACAAAGTTGGAACTGGGAAGAAAAAGTCCATCGCTATCATCAGCTGCTTCCTCATGTGGGGTTTAGTCCTGTGTGTTCTGCACCCACTGATGACCACAGACCTGACCTTTTACATACCTGAACTCAAGATCACCACATGCTTTGACATGCTGAAGAAAGAAATGCTCCCGTCAAAGGCTGCCTGGGCGACTTTTCTCTTCAGCATGGTGTTCTTCCTTTTCCTCTTCCCTTTCTGTGTCACGACATTTTGCTATGTCAGAGTGATACTCAAACTGGCCAAAAACTCCCAGAAAACCACCCAGAAAAAGAGAGCGATACGTCTGGTCATCGTTGTTCTCCTGGTCTTCACTGTCTGCTTTGCTCCAAACAACATCCTCCTGTTGACTCACAGTGTGCTGAAACTTTTCTATGATCGGTCTCTCTACATGGCCTACAAACTGTCTCTTTGTTTAAGCTGCCTGAATAGCTGCCTCGACCCTTTCATTTACTACTTTGCTTGCAAGGAGTTCAGACAAAAGCTGCGAAAGCTAATGAATCTGACGAGTCTGACTAGTGTGGATTCAATGAAGACGAAGCAGAAAGAGAGTTTTTACTCGGCACATTTTGATAGTTCAGAGAGAGAACACACCAAGGTATATTCCACAGCATATAGAGAGACAGAATCAGAGGAAGAGATAAGAGTGTAACTGGAGAGACGTGATAAGGGAAGTGAGAGCGAGGGAGAAACCGTAAAAGTGAGGGTTTTCCCTGAGTGGGTCAAGCTTTTCATAATTATTTTTACTTTCCCTGCGTGTTACGGACAAATGAAAATGAACAGGAAACAGAGTCATTTGACTTATTGTATATGTTTTTTCTTTTAAATATGAAAATATTATTATTGTAGAGATTGTGTATTTTTGCCACAATATGTTATTTTTTGACAAAAAAGATATAGCATGTAAATAAATAAACTGTGTGTGTGTGTGTGTGTGTGTGTGTGTGTGTGTGTGTGTATGCGCGCGTGTATGTGCTTGTGTGTGCTTGTGTGTTTGTGTGTGTGCCCGTGTGTCTGTCTGTTGAACAATAAATTGCTACGGGCAAGTGGACTTTTTTTTACCTTTGTTCTCCTTTTCTTACTTTTATTTGCTTTGTTCTTCTACAACCTATTATTATTATTATTAGTAGTAGTAGTAGTAGTAGTACTAGTACTAGTAGTAGTAGTAGTATTATTATTAACAGGTATGAACAAGTAGTCATAGTAAGGCCAGTCTGTTTATTTAAACTTTATACATCCATGCTTTGAAAGTGTGGGTGGATCCGCCCACTTTATGAAATGTGATCACGCATGCGCGTTGACGTTGCTGGTCGTAGCAAGCTCAGCGTAGCAATCACTCTCGGTCTACAGACAGGACAAGGTAAGAGTTTTGCTGCATATCTACTGTAATGTTTCTCCCAGAAAATGAAACTTGTTATAATATTTGTTTGTTTACTCAACAAATTCACTTTATGGGTGGTGAACTTACTCACCAAACGTCCCAGGGAGAAAACTTACTAGCTGCTAGCTAACACAAGTTAACACATTAAGTGTTATGTTTTAACTATGCATGTCGTATGTTAACACCATGGGTTAACACATGTAAGGTTCTTATTCAAAGTTACTTGTTTAACGTGAAGTGTCTGTGTTCAGATAAGTAGTAATTATGTGTGTAAATGTGTAAAGTGATGTGAAACACTGTTGCATGAGGCACAGATGTTTGGGAAAGGTTGAACTTTGTCTAAATAGCAATCTCTGTGCAGCAGTAGTTTAATGCATAGTTTATGCATTAAATAACACTGTGTAGTTACAGTAAGCGTATTTACAGTTCTTTACAGCAGCTCTGCTCATTGTATTTTTTTAATGCAGTACTTAATTCTCTGCAGTATGTATGGGAATTGGCCTAAAAACGAACAATTACCTTAAAAACACAAAACTAAAATAACCATTATAATATCCCAGAGCACGAAGGAATGTGCTTGTTTTCCTTAAAACCAAAATAATGTAATTTAAAATGATTAAAAGCAGCAAAATCTCACATTTGAGATCCTTTGACCAGTGAATGTTTTGTATTTATCTTAACTAGTTACTTCAGTAAATCATTTCTCATCATAATTGAATGTCATGTTGATTGATCTATAATTAAGTCAATGAATCACTCAGCTATACATTGAGTGGTCCTCCTGATAGTGCATTACTAGGCAGTTCAGGTCATCTGACTACTCCTTTGCTGAGTCAATCACATAAACTAGGCCACCTCTGTAATGTTTAACTATGTTCATCACTCCAGGAGCGGTGAGACGAGAAGGTCAACATGGTGCTGAACCCTGTCATTTCCAAGCTTTCTGGTAAACTCGTTGTTCTGGCCAGTGCTTCTCCTAGGAGACTGGAGATTCTCAACAATGCGGTATGTTGCATCCTGGTTAAACTTATAGGAATTATATTATATATATATATGTATATCACAACACCTGCACATTTTGTTTATGAAGACATGCAATTGTTACATATTGAGTAGCGCTGGATCAAGGTTTCCCTTTTTTCAGTCTGTCACTTTTTTGCACTTGGGTTGTCAAGCCATCATGAAAATGTATGCAACATGTATGAATCAAAGTAACTTTGTGTATCTTTAAAACTCTCTTGATCCAATCAGCATATCAGGCAAGCAATCATAACATAAGGTTGAGAAACACTGGGCTAAATAAAAATGAGAATGTGTATTTTATTCATAACTAGACTGATGGATTGCCCAACATCAGATCATCACATTATATACATGTAGCCTAAAGAATATGTGTTTATGGTAAATTTGTTGCCTTTTATAAGGTAAACACTGCGAACACTGATATGTTTTAGAACCGTTTTATAATTACCCTGTATATATCCTCATTAGGTTTTTAGTTTATAAGTTAACAGGAAAAGTGCATATTAATAACATGTCTGATAATATGCCAGGGTATACAGAAAGGCTAATCTTTTTCAGTAGTCGCACAGATAAATAAGACTATACAAAAGTATAATTATATATCATTTTTGTTTCTCCTCTCCTACACTTCAGGGCTTACGGTTCCAGGTGGTTCCATCCTGGTTCAAGGAAACTCTTGACAAGGGGCTTTTCAAAGCCCCTCATGAGTATGCTGTGGAGACAGCCAGACAGAAAGCCCTGGAGGTGGCCCGCAGGATGCCCTTTGTGAGAGCAACTCCTTTTTGTATGACAGTATATCTATTATCATTTATATTTCATTGCATTTTTATAACTTAGTGTCGATTACTTTGCTCTAGAAACACCTGAAGACTCCAGACATCGTAATCGGAGCGGACACTATTGTAGTAAGAGGAAGAAAGCTTTACATTACTTTTGTTTCTTTCTCTGTGCAATACATGTTGTATGTGTTTGCTGGACCTCAGAACAGCATTGGTGCCAGTTTTTTTTCTGTATCCAATATTTTCCTGTATATGTGTTTTAAACATGGCGTTTTAAGCCTATATTTGAAGTGTGGTGACTGATTAAATAAATAATAAACAGTATATATATTGTAGTGTGTGCTGAAACAGGTGAGTTATCCTGCTCTGCTTACATTAGACTTACATTGTCTGTGGGCATATTCATCATTTTCATGGGATTTCACATTCATTACACAATAACAATTGAATAGACCAGAACAAACATTTCCTGAAATTAGCATGATTTTATTTATATATTATATATACTGTATATATATATATATATATTTTATTATTTAAAATGATAGCAGTCCTTAATTATTTATCTCCAAAGTAGCTTAACCATGTCACATTATATGCTTTTTTCAAAACAAATTTTTCCGGGGCCATGACAGAAAAATTACAGATTTGATATCCACAAATTCCCATTATATACACAGCTTACGATCCATGTTAGAATTTGGCAACGATTTACCAGGTATTTTACGTTATGTATTTACTTGTGTTTTTCATTCCCTCAGACTGTAGATGGCATGATTCTGGAGAAACCTGTGAACAAAGATGATGCTTACAGAATGCTTTCGAAGTGAGTGTCATTTACATCATTATATCTAGTTAACATGTGAAACGGCTGGTACTTGTTTACAGTTCCTCTTTTCTTTAATTCTCCCTGTCAGATTGAGTGGTAAAGAGCACAGTGTCTTCACCGGTGTAGCGATTGTCCTCTGCCATGAGAAAGAAAGTAAGTACAACCAGTGCATGACATTAAGGATTTTGGGAGATGGCCCTGTGGGCCATCTAAGCTAATTTACAGATGGCCCTGAGCCCAATAGAGATTGCCCTGAAAAATGCGCGCGGACGAAATGGCACGAAGGGTTTGGGGGGCCTCCCCCTAGAACATTTAGATATTTCCAGGTCTTACTGTAGATGCTGTCTGGTGCATTCTCTAGACTGAATTATAAGATGAACCACCACAATATTATATTGTACAATTTCAATTTTATTCTTCATTTCACTTGTTTGTTTGCTCTTGTTTGCTCGATTGCATGCCCTGCATAGCTATAAGAAATACTTAAGTTGTTGGTCAAGACACTTTCCATCTGATGAAGGCAAATGCCTTCCCAGATGTAAAAAAGTAGAAAACATTACATTCAGTTATAACTGCCAAAACAAACATTATTTACACTATTATGGCTCCTGTTAAAAATGTTTGAAATGTTATCTACTGTAAATTGGTCGAATGAATGCTTCCTCATCCGGAAGCTGACCGAGCAGACCCGAGCAGCAGTCGAGAGGAGCCGAGCGCATCCGCGAAGCACACAACATGTTGACGTCGGAGTTCCCGTTAGCCGGCAAATCTAAATCTCTTCGGTCAAAATAATTTCCCTTTAGCGCAATACCGCTTCAGTTGCGCCACTTATGTGACAGACAAGAAGAGTATGTGACAGACAAGAATAGTCAATTCTAATGTCTAACACTTAATGTGGAGAAAGAGATGTGCTGTGTGGGTTGATTGTGTGTTGATCTGTTGGTAATGCCTCGGGGTTCCGGTGGGCATGTAAACAAATGCATAATGCTGCGCTATACTTTGTGGCCTCACCCAGTTGCATAGCGACACTTATTGTTTAGGTGTCTTTTAATAAGCAGGTAGTCATATCATTAGCTAGAACTAGCTGGATCTGATCGATATGGACATAAACGCGAGTGAAGTCTAATCTGACGGGAGAGAGAGATCAGCTGCTGCTGACGAGTCGACACGCAGCTCTGCATGATCACATGCAGCGGTGAGCGGACAAAACACACACTTCAGGTTAGAATATCACACGTAGCTATTTTAATTACCTCTCAAACTACCTAAACTAGTTATAGATATGTTTAGTTTTACTGTCGGCTCACTCATTACTGGATCCGCGAGCTGCATAATACTGGCATAATAGATTGCCCGATTGGGCAACCAGCAGGTGAGGCTTCATTGCCCGAGCTAAATACTAGATGGCCCCGGGCCATCGGGCAGCCCTTAATGTCGAGCCCTGGCCTAAGTTGATTACATATTATCAAATTGAAAAATTCAAAGTATATATATACGACAGTGCCATAGCTAAATGTTAGTTGATGTCTAAAGGTGTGTTTTCCTCCCCTCACCGGTCCCTCACAGCGGGCAGAGCTGCAGGTCCTGGTCTCTCTCTCTCGCGTTCGGTTATACTTCACTCGTGTTTATGTCCAAATCCATCAGATCTAGCTAGTTCTAGCCAATGATATGGCTGCTGCCCCTCCCTACACGCAGATCACGCAGACTCAAACCTCAATCTTAGACCCAAATGTGGCGCAAATGCGCTCCGCAGCCGTTGCGAGGTTCCGGCGCTAACAGTTCATGAGCGTGCTCCCCCGCCCCCTGTCAACACTCGCGACACATGAGTGGCCAGCCTAAACAACAATAAGCGCTGCTTGGCAACCGTGTGTGGCGGCAAAGTACATAGACATTTTGACAGGAGAGATTTAGTTTTGCCGGTATTCAACATATTTTACCAGTCATAGTCCGGTAATTATTTACACTCTAAGAAGAGTCCTACACAACAGACATGGCATCAAAAAGGAGTAATGTGTGTATATTTCGACC